ACTTCAGCCTGACTTAATATCTCTTGTCAGCTACCCTGGAAAACTTCTGGATGACTTGATATGTTTTGTCAGCCACCCTGGTCAACTTAAGCCTGACTTAATATCTATTGTCAGTCTCCTTAGACAACTTCTGGATGACTTGATATGTTTTGTCAGCCACCCTGGACAACTTCAGCCTGACTTAATATCTTTTGTCAGTCTCCTTAGACAACTTCAGCCTGACTTGATATCTTTTGTCAGCCACCGTGACTCATTAATTGTACGTAAGTTTAGACAAAACGTCTTGTTTCAGCTTTTGCAACTCAGAATCTAGCGTCATTGATCCACATTTTACCTGTACCTGTTTCAGTATTGTAGTGTAACCATCTCGGGTAACTGTCACCATACCCACTATTTTGTTTCACATAATATTAACCTGACTCAGTATCTTATTTCAACCATCCTGGATATCTGTTACTAAACATATATCTTATATCAGCAAACGTGGAGTCATTTATGTTGACATAATATCTTATTTCAGTCAGCGTCGTACCTGGTCTTGTTTCTGTCATCTTAGATTTGTCAGAATTAATGTCCTGATTCAGCCGCCCTAGTCATGTTATATCTCATTTATTTTCTTGTTTCAGTCTTCCGGGGTAACCATTACAACACTCAGTATTTAGTAGAGTCACTTATACCAGTTTTAGTATCTAGTTTATACCAACATGGTGTCACTTGTACTTACCGAATAACTTGTTTCAGCCAATTTGGAATCACTAATGCTCGGCCAAATACCTTCTTCTGCCACCTTGGCGGTTCTTCCCACCTGTATGTCTTGTCTTAACCAGTATGGGTTTGAAATCAAGTGTTGAAACACATCCCACACCTCCAATCTTCTGTACGCTCCAAGACTTCATTGACATCGAACACAATCAAAACAGCTTTCGGTATGTATATCCGTGTCGTGTGGCGTGTGGGACTTTGGCATAAACTTGTATCATGTGGACTTAACAGAAATACATTGATTGTTATCAAACAGTCCTACCTTTATATCAGTCCTACCATTATATCAGATCATATATCAACTGTTATTTGAACTTGAGCTGACTATGTAGAATCAGGTATAAATGCCAGTGACGGTACATGTGTACTTTATGCTAAGGACAGGGTACATTTCGCTGCAATTGACAGGAAATGCGTTTATGTATTCGACGCATATTGTCAACCATGAAGCTTAAAATTGTCTTATGTTTAAAAAGAGTTATCATATGAAACAATTAAGACAAATCCTTTTCAGCTTAGATCAACGCTTGATATTTCTTACCATTATATATACCTTGCTATATCTTTTCATAAAATAGGAAATTCACCAAAGTTTGAACTGTAAGCAGACAATCGAGCAATGGAAAGGGCCATTGTATCCTCACAGGAGCTAGAATAACATCACCTATTCACTGTCAGTGTTTAGAGCTTGAAACCTTGTGTTGCCTATATTACTTTATAGGCCTGAAGTAGGGGAGCTAAGTAAAGTATCTGCATTCGTTTGTGTACATAAGTGGTTCTTGAGCTCTTTTGCATATGCAAATTTCGTATGGCTGTCATATGTCTACACGCAGTAAACAGTGGTTGTAATCTGTTTGCCCAAAACCACTAGGTTCAGTTTGTCCAAAATGGACACAAAAAACAGCATGTTTCCTCTAACCTCAAAAGTTGACTTCTGATATAAATTTAATTTGTTTGCGTGTGTGTATGTAGATATTTCTCAGTGTGTGGTAAGGATCGCTTCATGTACATAAAAATATCCATGTGCGCGTTTGTGTGTGTATATATATATGTGTGTTATTGTTATTGGGTGTAACTGGGCAACTGCTATTATATTGTGTCATTTCTCCTCTGTCTGATATTTGAAAATTGGCAAGCCCAGCTTGCTACCAGGTTTGTATAGACAACAGCCCATAACTATTACACTTATGTAGAATACAGCATTTAATGACGTAAAACTAAAGCGTATGAAATACTATAATTTACGAGTGTAGTATTACACTGGTGTACTTATTTATTTGCAATACATTGAAAAACAGGCTTCATACATGTAAAACGCAAATATCATGGATGACAACTTCTTCTTTATTGTATATCACAACGTTTCTGGGCTGTTCCGACCGCCTCCGTGGTGGAGTGGTTAGAGCGTCCGCCCGGAGAGCGGAAGGTTGCGGGTTCGATCCCCGACCGCGTCATACCAAACGACGTTAAAATGTGGTACTTGTTGGTGCCATATCGTGACTAAAACAAGTTATAAATATATCATGCCTGGCGTAAGACTCTAGGCATTTACGGAACTATACAAGACGATACAATATAAAACAGGCTATTGATCAACAACTGAAGGAGTCATTATAATGTGTCTGAGTGGGGTATTCATGCTTCACTGCGGCGTGGTATCTCAGTGGGCTAGCACTATAAAACCAGCACTATACAAAAGTCTGGGCTAGTACAAGCAGCCGCACATCCACATCCACAAGCATGCACGTCGTCATATGAGTGAAATATTCTCAAGCACGACGTTAAACCCAATTTCGTGTGTGTGTGTCTGTCTGTCTGTCTGTCTGTCTGTCTGTCTGTCTGTCTGTCTGTCTCTCTCTCTCTCTCTCTCTCTGTCTCTCTCTCTCACTCTCTCCATCTCAGCAAACTCGGCAATTTTCCAGCTATATGACAACGGCCAATGTACATGGATCCTGCACAAAGCACGTTTGTGACTGATATTCCATGTGACAGTTCCAGATGTCTGGGTCAGCTACTTCAGCTTAAGTATTTAAGCTTATGTATGTCCACTACATACAGTGGTTAAGCAGATGTATGTCCACTGAAAACAATCTGACCATAATGTCAACCTTTCAGGTATGTCTAGTGGTAGGTTCCAGAATACGCGAGGGGTGGTCAAGTTCCCGGACTACATCACGACGGTTTGGACAGAAGGTGATGGTTGCAGTTCGTGATGCCTGTTGGTCAGAAATCTGCCATCGACTATCCAGGATGCAGTATCGCACCTGACTGGTCATTTAGTGCAAATATAGTGCATCCATAATATATATTTACTCAAGAAAAAATGACACAATTACTACACATTGTTTTGCGTTGTCAACTATTTTACATGCCATTGTCGGTTGCTCATTAATTCTGATGACGACAAGCTTGTGCTGATCAAAGGGTGCTGAGCAAAGAGACCCTGCCGGCGGTCGCCATAAATGGGCCTCAGACATTGTGCCCGGGCCTTCGAAATAACGAGCGAATGCTGTAACCCCTAGGCTATCCAACCGGTTGCATCCAGTCCTACGAGCGTTCTATACAAGAAACTGGGCTATGAACTGTTGACTTCACCAGGACCCTTTTTCTAAAGAGATCATAACTCGCACCTTTAATGTCAAGAAAATGAATTACGATCGAGGTGCTGTTACATGTTTATTTCTTTTCAACACGACAATCTGTGTCATTCAACACTCAACATACGGCTTGTGGTTTCTAGATATTTATTGTGTTTTATCACAGACGTTGCTACAACAAACAATGTGGACGGCAGTAGAAAGATGCATTATACAAATATATACACAAACACGAAATTACATGCGGAATGTAATTTCACCTATCGCACGAAACGCATGGACAGACGCTGGTTAAATTTTAGCTCATGCAGTCAATGTACAGGAAAAAGAAACAGAGGACGTCCAAAGGACTTGACGAAGATCTGTAGAGGCAGAGATGAAGGACGCGGGGTGGACCTGGTGCAGCAATAGCCCAGGAAAGACAGCATTGGAAAACTCTAGTATCGGCATCATGTACTAAGAGCACGACGAGGATTAAGTAAGAAAAAAGTTAATCAATGTACAAAAACAATATAGTCTAGGAATATATTTGGCATGTTCCTTTTGGACGTAGGAACACAAACAATAGTCGGACTGAATGACTACGCATATTTTGACACATAATTATGCAAGTTAAAACTCTTGACTTGACATAATCATTCAAACGAAACAACATTTGTTGACACAACTGTCTGAATACTGCAAATACAGTTGATTCAGCGCTTTTGTCTCTGAGATAGAAGGAATACAAGATAACCGGAATCAATACTTTGCTATCAGTATTCCACTTGCATTAAGACAAAATGATGTATCACAGACCTTCCAATAAAGAACGTTCCTAACTGTCATATTTATCACAATATACCGATATATGGTACAGTTAAACAGTCATGCTACAACGGGTGTTTGTACAAAGGGGTGAACATTAACAACATCCAAATCATATCACAGTATAACAATATATTACACTTCACATATTTCTCTCAATAAATATTATTTCAATGGTGTCATTTTAAACGTGTGCAAGACCCAATTCGTACGGGAATCTTTCTGCTTAGATATAATGCACATTTATAATACTTTCAAAACCTCGCTTCGAGGACAAGAGTTTCTGATTAAATTCCAAACGAATTATTTTAATTCTGTCATAAGTTGTTACAGATTTTGAATATGGATAAGTGCAGTCATTACAATGCAAAGACAGGAAATACAATAACATCGGCTCATTTTTCTTTAAACAAAATTGACATGAGGTTTGATCCTAATGAATTATATAAAGCGTTTAAGATAGAAACCTTATCAACACTAAACGATATCTCTGTTCTCTTCCATGGGACTACGGACAACTCGTATCCCCGGGACTTCGAGTTAACGGTGTTTCATTGTTTTTCTTCGTGATATAAATATATTTAATGGATCAATTCAAGCAAAAGCGCCGTCGTCTGTACGAAATATCTATAATATGTACACCGTGCAAACTGGCAACATAACATATCAGGTTCATCACCCGAAACGTTTAAAAATCAACCTCCAGTAGACATGCACAGTATCAAAAAAGAAAACGTAAATATGAGAACACCAAACAGATGTGACGTGTAGAAAATCACCTCTAATCAATGAAAGACCGTGAGTTTAAGTGAGATAGAGGTAGTGAGACTCCAGCTAGACGTTGCTGTCCCTGGCTACTACAGCCTTGCCCTCCGGCGTCGTCACCCAGCGTCTCTGATTGGTTCGGGTGTTGTATTGGTACACCTTGTCTGTCACTGAGGAGACATAATGAATTTGTTAGATAACACTGACAGCCATCTACCTGCCCTAGAACGCGACATTGAGAACAACAAACAATACAAATAAATGCGCCAAATATAGCAAACCTATTGATGAAGTAACATTATCAATTTGTAATGTCATGGACATCTTGGATAACGTCAAAATGCAAAAATGAATCATGATAATAAACAAAATTTGAAAAGTATTACTTTGGATATTTCTAACTTTAAGGGTAATGTTAAATAATATCACCGATGGCTATTCAGCTATGTCGTTTTCTGCATGTAATGTGAGTCTTTCCTCCAAAGAATGTGGTGGTTTACCACTGCACATCACGATTTAAGAACTACAGTACAGTCTTACAAACAGCTTAACATATACACATGGAAAAAATGTCATATTCTTTAAAGTATTAATATGCTATCAAAGGCACCTATCCAAACCTCAATTCAACTTACTAAAGGGACAATTAAATGTAAAATGTAAAATGAGCGAAAAACAGTGGTTTATTTAGAGAAGCAAACTTTTATAAGAAATATTTAATATCAATATTTAGTGCTTATAAGTATGGTCGTATGACGTTTACAAGAGCGGCGATTTTCAACATTCTGGCATACAATCCTCTAGAATTTGCATATGTATTTTGACTCATGGCGGACCAAAGTAGAGTTGCTACCGCCCCTTGGCGAAATAAATCACCAATGGCACGTGCACGATGTGGCATATCATTGTCGTCCATGACCGTTGGCCTCGTGTTCAGAAGATGGTCATGGAAAGGTAGTACAGCAACCCTGTCTATCACTGGATTTTCTGGACCAGATGGAAAATTTACAGGCCATCATCATATAGCTTGAACGTTATGGAGGGGGGGGGGGGAGTAGACATAATAAAAACAACTGTAGGCTTGAGGAGACTATGAGGCGGGAATTACAGCTGACACTGAAGACACCCGTGAGTGAACGACAACAAAAACAATCTATGGAAACTCTATCTACCTGTAATATACACAGACGTCATTACACCTACCTGGGTCCACAGCTTGCCCATCGAAGTGCCTGTTGCGTATGGGGTAGCCATCAATCTCATTCGATGTGACGATAACGGAGCGTGGTGTACGAGGGGGCGTTTCGCTCCTACGTCCTTTCTTTTTTTCAGGGGCTCCCCAGAAGTCATCAGGCTCTGAGCTCTGCACTCGTGGCTAAAACATCACTGAAATGCTTAGTCTGTGTTTTAGAAACCAATAACTGATAATTCATAAATTTATTCTATTAAATCTGCCTGAATATTCTTCAGCATTCACTGCAGTTAAATTAACCAGGGCTCCGTTCCACAAAACGGTGTCACGATGTTAAGCCTTGTAAAAGTATGGGAGTTATGATCCCTGCAATCCTGAGGTCGACTTGTGGAAGGGGCACAGAGAGACAGAACTATGTGCTTTAGTGTATTTATATGCCCTATATATTTTATTTATCAATAAAAGCACCAAACCTTTAGTGGGATTGGAAGCGTCAACAAAGCTGGAGGAGGATGTTTCTTGGGATCCTTAAGGTCAAGGTCAGGAACCATTGCTGAAACAGTCCACCATGCAGTATATAACTCGTTTAATCTAAGTACACATGCATGCATAATGCTGCAAGTTTCATTTCCTAAATATGTTTAATTGCTACTTAGGCCAGCCTCCGTCTTGATGTACATGTATCTGAAATAAAACAGAAAGTAACCCCTCTTTCTGGTAAATTCCTAACGGGATTGTTTATATTGTCAACAACGTATGCAACAAATGGGCCAGTTGGACTTCTCAAATACACAATGGTACATTCATTATAAACACAAGTATTTTCTCAAACAGCTTGCTGATCTTTCTTCAAATGTGAAATACTATGAAATGATACTTGTCTATCTGAACACACTTCTATGTTTTTTAATTCTGGCATTTACGACCACTACTATGTTTGTTTTATGTTTAACATTATTGATATATTTATTGATATCCTACAGAAGAAAATAATGTGAGAAAATGTGTTTACCTTTGCTAACCAGTGTAGTCCTTACTCCAGGTCGATTCTCCAAGATTGTCGTACGGGTTGGTGTAATCGGCCTAGGAAAAGAAACACACATGGAACGATTAGTAACAGCACACCCATATGTTTCCATACGGACCTTTTGAAAGGTGAATTGGTTACAATGACCAACCTTCTCTTCTTCCTCCACCAGAGGATGGCAAAGATTGTGATGCCGATGAGTACGACGGCCAGGAGGCAGGACAGGGTGATGAAGACAATGCCGACTGTTGTCTGATGCCAGGGAGTGACAGTCTCGGAGTAGGGACTGGCGTTCTGGATCACGAAGTAGTCCCAGGCTGATCCTACATCACAGGAAAGGGTAATATATATATAAGAACTAATAGTAGTTATGAGAGGCACGAATGCAGCATTAATAAACTAAATGACATCTGTCCCGTTACATTACTAACATTCATGATGATGATGATAATGATGATGATGATAAACAACTATTATAGCTGTGAGCAGTGAGAGATGATGCCAAGGATACCCTTGAGATAGTTTGCCATTCGCATGGTCTTAACTATTGTTTATCGAAATCGCCTAAAGCACAGAAAAGAATCAATGTGTTACATAGTCTATACACACGTCCTGTATGTATGTGTAAATGATGATGATGATGATGATGATGATGATGATGATGATGATGACGACGATGATGTCATATATGTCTACGACGGCTTTAAAAGTTCTATTTACCTTGCAGTGCTGATGATGGAGTCCCTGATGGGTCAGACGCTACGACACTGGTGACATCGCTGGAAGTGAGGAAAGTCTTGCCTTGGGCCAGGTTGCTGGACGTTTCAGTTGTGTTGTCAGCAACAACCACAAGGTTGACATTTACTGGACTGAAACATATAGTTTTGTTATATGTCAGTGCAAGTTGTTGCTGGAAGGTTCTATATTTATATAATTTGGGTGGTCTGTAACACAATTTTCTAGAAGACTTTTGATGAATGAGTTATAGTATCAAATATTCTGAGTTTGAAGACTATGTAGTGGGCAAGCGTATGCCACTCTCCTCTCACATTAACTAAAAGACCAGAAATTGTGTGAAGATAATTATTTTCCTCCTGGGTCCAGTCTCACAAAGCGATCGTAGCGCTTAGGTCATCATAACTCCTATGCTAAGGTGATCGTAACTCCCATACTATAACATAAACTTACAACAGTCAGGGCGATCCGATCGCTTTGAGAAACGGGCCCCTGGTTATCAACCTAGACCGGAAGCCAATGTTGCTGCTATGTGAATATTATGATCACTATTCTTATATTTTGAACTGCAGTCGTAATTGTATTGCCATCGTACTTGTACTGCAACATTGTTAATAACTTTTGTTGTTTTGTACTTAACTTTTTATATTTTTAGATATAGTTTATGTTTGAATACAATTGCAAGAGGTTACTGGTTCTATTGCAGACATATTTCTTAGTTAACCTGTTTCAATTTGGAAACTATACCCGCCAAGGTCAAACAATAACCGCAACCATATAATAAAACATTAACCCACCCTGGTAGTTATACAGAATCACATTGCATTAGGTTATACAGGAGGTATCATTAGTCCAGTCATTAAGCAGATGGATTTAAAAAGAAATGACTTGGTAACCTGGAAGCAAGGAGCCTCCGCCGTGTTGGTGCTGCTACTGCTGTCTCGCCTGACCTCTCTGTGATGCACCAGATCCGTACCAGACATGAAGGATAGCTGGACGACATGACAGTCTTGAACTGGGACACAAACTGATCCTGTCTGAGGAGGAAATCTGTCTTGCTTATGCCAAGTTTGATAACGACGGCCACGGTATTGGGGTCGAATGTGTCTACCCGGATTGCTGCTGCCGGGCTGGTTGTTCGTGAAGGAACCCCACCATCGTTCCCTGAGGCTTCCAGTACATACTTGGTGTTGACTGATACTGGGGTCTGTAGCACCACAACACCTGGAATACATGTAATAAACATAAACATGACTTTGATGTAGAAAGGCAACATTGTTGTTCAAAAACGAACACTTCGAACCTTCAGCTATCTTCCCAGGTTGATATGACACCGAAAATATAGTGTAGCATTGTGCCTACATGGTTATATTTATCAAAGGCTGCTGTAGGTGACAGCCTCTCCCTCAGTTTAGGTTTGTGTAACATAAGTTTGTGCATTGGCGACTGGCTGTTTATCGTATCCGAGAAAAGCATGCGATAGATTCACACTGAATTGTTTTAAGCATTCATTCTGCTTCAGACAAGACTAAAAATAGAACTACATCAGCGATATCACGTCATGGATAAATAGATAAACATACCTGAACTGACACCAACAGCAAAGAAAAATCCATAAGGATTCTGGGAAAAGACGTAGAACACCTGTCCATTTAATCCAGAATCAGCATCAGTGGCAGTAAGAGTCACAATAGTGTTGTCACAGGTGCCAGTGTAGGCAATCTCAGTGTTGTAAAATGTAGAGCTGAAGACAGGAGCATTGTCATTTTCATCGATAACTGTGATGTACACCACAGCTGAAGCAGTCAGGGGAACTGTCCCGTTGTCAACTGCTAAAATGGTTACATTGAAGTCCACGTCCACCTCTCTGTCCATAACAGACTTGACACTTACAATACCTGAGGCAGAATCAACTGTTAGGAACTGGTCACCTCTGACCCCTTCAGGAGTTGAAGTATCGATTGACAGAGTTATGGCACCATTGTGGGCGTCTGCATCGGTGACTGTAACAGTTAATATGCTCGTTCCTGCTGCTGTGTTTTCATTTACAGATCCTGTATACTGTAACGAGTTGAAGACAGGTGGGTTATCATTTAGGTCATCAATCACGATGGTCACATTAACATCTCCAGTTAACTGAGGAGTTCCACCATCTTTAGCACGACATCTCAAACTGTATGTGTTAATAGTTTCTCGGTCCAGATTCCCTGCTGTAGTGATCACTCCAGAAGAAAGGTCGAGGACAAAATGGGACGCTTCACCAGTCCAGAAGACAACAATTTCATATGTTAGTGCTGCATTTATTAGGCTGTCTTTATCTGTAGCTTCTACTGTCCCAACAGATGACCCCAAAGGAACATTTTCGGCTATGTTAAATGTGTATTGAGACTGTTTGAAAATTGGATTGTTGTCATTGATATCATCAATCACTATTGTAGTGGTAACAGAAGCAGTTAGTGGAGGGGTTCCCTTATCCGTTACATGGATGACGAGGTTGTAGGAGGCGGTTCTCTCCCTGTCCAGTGAATTCTGAACTTGAACAATACCACTCCCAATTTCAATCTGAAATAACAATTTCACACTGCATTAAATATGCCGATTATGACTGGTGTATACTCATATGATTACGGTTATATATGCAACATGGATATAATGATACAATGGTTACAGACCTTGAAATCTCCATCAGTGCTTCCAGACGCAATAGAGAACACAAGTTCAGCATTCACGCCACTATCTAAGTCAGAGGCTGCGATAGTGAAGACAATGGTTCCAGGGCTTATGTCCTCACTCAGATTAGTTGAGTAACTTCCCGTGATGTTAGGTTTGTTATCGTTTACATCGAGGAGGTTGACTGTCACAACTGCTGTTCCTGTATTAGCTGGTGTTCCCTGGTCGATGGCCAAAATTGTTAAATTGTGGCTGAAACATATCAGGAACATTTAGAATTCTTACTGTTCATTGAGTCAATTAGATAAAAGTGTATAGACTATTCAGTCATATTTGCTTGGTAATTGTTGAAGTCCGCACTCAGCAATATTCCAGCTATATGGCTGCGGTCTGTAAATAATCGTGTCTGGACCAGACAATCAAGTCATCAACAGCTTGAGCATCGATCAACAGCTTGAGATACGATGACACGTCAACCAAGTCAGCGAGCTTGACCACCCGATCCCGTTAGTCGCCTCTTACGACAAGCATGGGTTACTGAAGATCAATTCTCACCCAGAATCCAGTCATAAATATCACTATTCTAACTGTTATATACCTTTATTGTTCAGAGGGTAAGTGTATATAGACACAGTACCTGGGAATAGTTTCTCTGTCTAACAAAGCTTTTGTAGATATTTGCCCAGATCCTGTATTGACTTCGAAAAAGGCATCAGTGAGACTGTAGGTGAAGACGTTGTTATTGTTAGCAGATGAGTCAGCGTCTGTGGCATAGACAGTCGTCACACTTGTTCCCAAAGTAGCATCTTCTGACAGACTTTGAGTAAAGAAGTCAGGTGTAAATGTAGGAGCATTATCGTTAAGATCAACAACCGTCATCCTGACGACTCCAACAGTAGATAGAGCAGGCGTTCCACCATCTATTGCTTGTAGAATTAGGAAGAAAACATGTTTTGTCTCATAGTCGATGTTCTGTGTTGTTGTAATAATACCACTGGAGGAGTCAATTGCAAAATATGCTTGTCCATCTCCAGATGTTATTGAATATGTAACTTGACCATTTGTCCCCGAGTCTTTGTCAGTGGCGGTTACCGTTTCTACTGACTGACCAATCGCTACATTTTCATTCAAGAGAGGAGTATATATAGATTTAGTAAATACTGGATACTCATCATTTTCATCCTGAAGTACAATTTCAAGCCAGAATGACCCGGTCAGACCACCTTTGTCTTGTGCTTCAACCGTAATGTTGTGAGTGTTGGGAGGTGTGTCGTAATCGAGAACGGACGATGTATACAGTTCTCCTAACTGTGGACTGCAGAAGAAAAGCTCAGGGATGTTTCCATTTGTGATACTCCAAGAGAATTCCCCATCAGTTCCTGAATCACCATCTGCAGCGCTTGCATTGTAGAAGTTGGTTCCTACTGGGATTAGCTCGCTCACTGTGATGCTATCATTGGGGACAGCAGGAATCGGAGCAAACTCGTTTTGGGATAGTACATTTATGATGATTCTGCCATTTGATGTCAATGGTGTCGTTCCACTATCTGACACTTGTATGACAAGATCATACATTGTCAAAGTTTCAAAGTCTAAGGCTGCATTTGAGAGAAGTTCGTTTGCCACAAAGTTGAATACACTTCCCGTATTTCCTGAAACAATGGAGTACACGGGTGTTGCATTTGGAACATCATCATCATCTCGTGAAGTCACAACTGCAACTGTAGATCCACTTGGAGCTGTCTCAAGAACATCTTTGATGTAGAGGATTGGTACAAACACAGGGATGTTATCATTCACATCACCAACTGTTATACTGAGATCCACCTCAGCACTACGCTCAGCCCCTGAACTAGCAAAGTCATCAGTGGCACGGATTCTCAAAGTGTATGAGGTAGTGCTTTCTCTGTCTAAATTACCAACAGTTTTAATCTCTCCCGTTCCTTCATCAATACTAAAATGACCAAGATCATTGCCAGATGCTATTGAATACCTAACCGTTCCATGAAGTAAACCCTTATCGGTATCTGTAGCTGTTACTGTGTACACAACAGATCCTATAGAGACATCTTCCTGAATAGGTACAGGCGTAACTGGAGTAAATACTGGAGCTGCTTCATTTACAGGTGTCACATCTAAAGTTACAGGAACGGTGATAACTCGTGCAGTACCCCCTTGATCGGATACTTGAATTTCCAAGTTGTAGGAAGTTGTAGTTTCATAATCAAGCAACGCAAATATGGTAACCACCCCAGAAGCAGCATCGATGGTAAATTTACCCTCTCCATTGCCCGTTGTGATACTGTAAGCCAGGGTGGGGGTAGAGGAATCAGCATCGGAACATGTTAGACTACTAACAGTTGTTCCAATACTGGAATCTTCTGGTAGTGTGTTGATATAATTGGAAGGAGCACAAATTGGATCATTGTCATTTACATCAAGGACTAAAACTGTCAGCTGAGTTGTTGCTGTGCGACTTCCAGCTCCTGTTCCATCAGCAACTTCTACTGTCAAGGAATATGTGTCTGTGGTTTCCCGGTCAAGAGCCCCCTGAAGAACAACGGTCCCCGATGTTGGATCGATCCAAAATTTGTTATCTGCGTTTCCTAGAGTTATGCTGAATGATAGAACAGAATTGGAAATATCATTATCATTTGCATTAATGTTCTTTATCGTAGTTCCTAAAGCTGTGTCCTCACTGAATGACTCGGAATAGGGTCCGGGTGGAGCAAAGACTGGGTCATGCTCGTTGACATCTGATACTGTGACTGTTACAATGACATCGGTAGTAAGGGTTCCATCTGAAGCTTGTACTGTGAGGCTGTACGCACTCAGTGTTTCTGCGTCAAGACCTGCATTGACTGTGACCACTCCTGATGTAGATCCAATAGCAAATACACTACCAGTGTTGCCTGCTGTGATTGTGTACACAACGTTATTGTTAGGAGGAACATCAGCATCCGGACAGGACACAGTGGTAACTGACGTGGATAGAGCAGCATCTTCTGGTACACTGCCAGTGTATACGGATGAGGTACAAAGAGGAAAGTTGTCATTGACATCAGTTACAGTTATCGAGACAGTAGACGTTCCAGTAAGACTTGTGGGGGTCCCTTTGTCCTGGGCCCTTACTTCCAAAACGTATGAAGATAATGACTCCCTGTCAAGAGATGCCTGAACAGACACTACTCCTGTCACAGAGTCCACAGTAAAGTGGCCCAGTGAATTTCCTGTTGATATGAAGTACACTACATCTCCTGAAAAAGACAACAAAATCTACATTAGAGAATCATGAAGAGATTAAACTCTTGAATTGATTGATAGATTATACAAATACATATTTCTGGAGATATCAGTGATTTGATGGCATTAGGATATTGGTGGCTGAACATGGCTCATCCAATTCCAATCAAATACTTTAATCTATAACATGGCTGACTACCATTCGACCCCGCATCTGCATCTGTTGCTGCTACTGTCACAACAGCTGTTCCAGGGCTAGCATCTTCAGCTACGCTGGGCGTGTACGGGTTCTGGACAAACGCAGGACTGTTGTCATTCTCGTCTATAAAAAGATAAAACAGCAAATAATAATATGTGTACTTTGTCCCTATATACTAACACAATGATGAGCAAAACGATCTAGTTCCTATTTACAATGTATTTGTGCTTGCTCACACCACCTACCTGTGATGCTGACAAAGACATGGATGACTGCAGAAAGTGCTGTGGCTCCACCATCTGTGACAGTAACATTCAGAAGGTATGACGCAGTCGTCTCCCTATCAAAGGATGCTGCTGCAGCAACAGAGACCAGTCCTGTAGAAGCATCAACATCAAACAGGTTAACTGGATCCCCTGCAATCTTGGCATAACTGAGGACATTGTTAGGAGCGTTTATATCTGAGTCTGAACACACAATTTGTTGAACGGATGTTGTTGGCGCTGTTGATTCCGTTATGGCAGTTGCGTAGTATGCCTGAGTGCAAGATGGTGTTGCATCATTCACATCAGTCACTGACACCGTTAGGATGTAGGTACCACTCAGGGGTGATGGATTAGTTCCAGCATCCGTTGCCTGGATTGTAACAGTGTATGATGACACAGATTCAGCATCAAGTACGTCACTTACAGTCACGACGCCAGTCGATGGATCAATTATGAACTTCCCAAGTGATCCTGATATGATACTGTAGGTTACTTGTCCATCTGGTCCAGAATCATTATCCGTGGCATCAAGGTCAATAACAACGTGCCCCGATACACTGTTCTCAGGGACAGTTTCTGTGCTTGAAGCAGGGGTGAACGTTGGAGAATTTTCATTGATAGGATTGACAGATATGGACACGATGACGTCACTTGTCTGCCCCCACCATCAGTGGCCCTCACTGTGAGAGTGAAGAGTTGGGTCGTCTCAAAGTTCAAGCCAGTGTTGTCAGTAATTGTAATAACACCGGCTGTAATACTAAAAACAGTGCCCGTGTTGCCACTTTCTATGGAATAGGTAATAGTTCCAAAACCTGCAGCATCAGCATCTGTTGCTGTTACTGTAATCACAGTCGTCCCTGTGGGTGTGTTCTCGTCAACGTTTGTTGTATATGTTGATGGATTAAACACTGGCAGGTTATCATTGACATCTGTTATAGTGAGTGTCAAAGTTTCACACGTTGATTTGATTGCATCAACTGTGCCTGAATCCGTAGCACATACATCAACAGTCACAGTTGGATTGGTTTCTCTGTCTTGTTGAACCTTCAGAGTTATTACTCCTGTGGCAGATCCTATGATTACGTTCGTTGTGTCTGTCAGGGAATATGTAACACTATTTTCAGTGTCAGCATCAGTTGCAGTCACTGCAAGTATTGTAAATCCTACTGCCTCTGATTCTGCCATAGAAGGGTTGAATGGCGTTCCAAGAAATGCTGGAGCAGCCTCGTTGACGTCTGTCACTGACACAATGACTGTAGCTGATGTTGTTCGGGCAGGAACACCACCATCCTCAACTCTTATTATAATTGAATGTGAAGTGGCAGTTTCATAATCCAAACCTGTTGTAGAAACAACACCACTCGCATCAACAGAAAACGAACCACTCCCAGCAACAGCATTCACGGATTCTATAATGTAGGAGAGTGTACCACTTGCTCCTGTGTCCAGGTCTGTGCATGTCAAAGTAGCTACATTGCCAGTGTAGTCTTCTCTTTGAATGGTAGTCGTGGAGCTAGGGGAGCATGTTGGTGTGTTGTTGTTGTCGTCAACGACGTTGATTGTCACAGTGACGTCTGAACTTCTAGCTGGTGTTCCACCATCAGTTGCTGTCACAGTAAGTGAGTATGTACTGGCAGTTGCAAAGTCAAGATTATCTTTGAGGGTGAGAGCACCATCAGATGCAAGGGCAAATGTGGCGTGTGTTGCCATGGAGTAAGTCAGATCTCCATCTGTGCCACTGTCGGCATCCGTTGCAAGGATCTGATGGATGAGCGTCCCAATAGCTGTGTTTTCAGGGACTGACTTGATGATAGTTGTTGGGGTAAACACTGGGTTATGCTCATTCACATTAGTGACTGTAACTGATACAATTGTGGTAGCGGACTTGGATTGTGCATCCCCTGCTCTGTCGACTGCCTTCACTGTCAGAGAGTGGGACACAGCTGTCTCATAGTCTAACAACTTGGCTGTTCTTATCTCGCCATTGCTGACATCGATCGTAAAGTCACTGTTCGTATTTCCACCTGTAACAAATGAGGTGATGTGTTTTACAATGGTTTCCGAAAAAACTCCAAAAGAACATTAGCATAAGACACACTTAGTATTGATAATGCTTTACATTTTACATACCGATAATCGAGTATGTTACTTGTCCATTTCCTCCAGTTGCAGGGTCATCAGTATCAGTTGCAGCAACGGTGACCACGACACTAGCTCCAACAGCATCCGCTTCTGACACACTGCCACTGTAGAGAAAACAGATGACAAATCACGGAGACATTAGTATTAATGTCTTGAATTCCATGGATATATCAAAAATACTTTTTGTGTCTGATAATGGTTTGGGTCCAATACAAGATGAGTGGAGTCAGTGGCATAGCATCTGTTGAGAGTCATCAGTGTGCGACGTAGAGGGAAAAGGGTGTATAAGTACCTGTACGATCCAGAACCAAACACAGGAGTGTTGTCATTTTCATCTGTGACGGTCAAACTGACAGTGGCAGTTACTGTGGTTGTTCCGTCTGTTGCTGTAACCAGGAGATCGTGAGTTGCATCCGTCTCTCTGTCCAGTGATGACACAAGCGTGATGACGCCTGAGGTTGAGTCCAGCGCAAACAAAGGGTACGAAGCTACAAAGGCATACGTGATTTGTCCATCTGAAGTGGAGGCGGAATCTGCATCTGTTGCAGTTACCTGTGCTATTGTGGAGGCCAGTGCTAGATTCTCACTGTGGGATACTGGATATATCACTATAGTAACAAAGCAAAAATATGTTTGTAGTGAACAGCAACTGAAATATACCACTAGATATACCACTGGGTGTGAAATTAACAATGCATGTTGTGAAAAGCTAAAATGGCTGCAGAAGAACCCTGAATAATCACAGATCACCTTTTTTAAAAATGTCAAAGCAAGGTGCTCATATATGAGTACACATGAATCTGAGGATGAAACGGCAACATGAAACTGAAAGGTGAGCGGAATATTTGGCCGACATATGCATCAAATTTCCAAAATCCCAGATGTATATTTAAAATATTGCTTGTCCAAGATCTGATTCTAAGTAACTTTCCAAAAATGTGTTTACATTATCTATCTCAAGAAGGAATACTCTGAAATCTGAATATTTGGCTTTGAAAGGTATTCCCTCTCTATTAATTCAGTTTTATATGTGAGACTACTTACCTGGTGAAAACACTGGCGGAGCCTCATTGACGTTTCCAACATGAATTGTTCCGGGGATAGCCACGCTATTTGTGGTGTCAGATACTGTTACAATAACATCATATTTTGTCACACCAGAGTCAAAGTCAAGGGGTGACTTCAACTGAAGAATATTTGAACTCATTTCGAACTTGATCGTATTTCCAGTTGACAAGGTGTATGTTACAGTTCCAGTAGTGTCAGCATCAGTACACGTGAATGTGTTGACACCGAATCCGGCGACCTCGGCTTCACTGACAGTCACAACGAAGGAATTCTGAGAGCAAGATGGTGTATTGTCGTTTACATCTGTGACTGTTACAGTAAGTGTAACTGTGGCAGTCCCAATGTCTCCACTTTCCGTGGCTTTGATGACGAGATCATAGCTAGCTTTTGTTTCTCGGTCCAAGTTAGCAATAGTCGACACTCTCCCTGTATTTGAATCTATGCTAAACTGATTACTGAGGTCACCACCCTGAATAGAATAAACAGGACTTCCAAAAGCATTATTTCCATCAGGGTCTGTGGCTACAACATCAGCAACGGATATCCCAATGGCGCTGTCTTCAGCAATGGTGGCGGAAAATGTTCCAGTAAATGTTGGTGGGCCATCGTTGACATTGACAACGTTGATGTTAACAGTGACTGTTGTTGACTGTACAGGACTTCCGGTGTCAGAGACTGTGATGGTCAAAGTATGGCCAGTGTTTGCCTCGTAATCAACAGCACCTGAAATAGTCAAATAAGTTTCATTATGAAAACTAAGATGACTCAGATGTTTTCGATACCCTTTCACAGGATACATATAGATTCGTTGTGTCTAAAATGTAGATCTGAAGGACGAACAAATACTGGTACCAGAGTGATAGTCATAACAGCCAAAAAGATTTGGTTAAGGTCTGTAATCTCTGCTGCGTGTGAAGTCTTTGGGAACAATGGTGCCATCGCGATTTGGTAGTGATTTATAAACACATGCCAATAATCTAGTCAGAATGCCATTATGTCTTATGAATATAAAAATGGTTTTAATCGCACATCCACCCTTAATGTATTGCACTTTAAGATGACATACCTACCTACAGCTCAAATATGAAAGTGAAACATACGTCCAGTCACCTATAGATATTGTTATCACATTTAACTCACTTGTTATTGTTACAGCGCCTGCTGTTACGCCGAAGTGAGAACCTGGACTTTGCACAAGAGTGTAGGTCAGTGATGTTCCATCTTCAACATCTGAGCATCCCAAACTTGCAATAAGTGTCGTTGGAAATGTAGCTGAAGCAGAGCAAATAAGAATCCATTAATTCTAATGGACATGAATAATACAGTGTGCGGAAAACAATAACAACATCCTGAAAGGTAAAGCAAAAACAAAATTGACGACAAATAACGTTTTGGTGTAGCTTACGACACTTCCACGTGTATAAAAAGACCCGCGAAGGTCCGGGTTAGAATATTCGTCTTCAGTAACCCATGCTTGTCGTAGCAGGCGACTAACGGGATCGGGTGGTCAGGGTCGCTGACTTGGTTGACGCATATCATCGGTTCCAAATTGCGCAGATCGATGCTCATGCTGTTGCTCACTGGATTGTCTGGTCCAGATTCGATTATTTACAGACCGTCGCCATATAGCTGGAATATTGCTGAGTGCGGCGTAAAACTAAACTCACTCACTCCACGTGTATAAAGTCTTACCGACATCCTCTGCAACATTCTGGGACCAACTGGATTGAGTGCAGGAGGGGATGTTGTCATTGACGTCTGTCACACTGACTGTTACCGTGCCAGTCCCCTACAAGACCGACAAAGACAACAAATAAATATGTATGTACTAAATGGATCAACAACCCGTTATGAACACAGTCAGCTGTTATGGGATATACATGTGCATACATATGTGACACTTGCCTGAAGTCCGCCGCCATCTGTAGCTGTGAGGGTGAGGAGATAGAACTTGGTGCCAGCAGGAAGAGCATCGTAGTCCACACTGGAGGCCAGGGTGATGACAGCAGAGGACGGGTCTATGCTGAACAGGGACAGGCCTCCTTGGGTTACTGAATATATTTCGAAGACGAAATGCACAAATCTTGACACAAATCTTGATGTTTTTCAATGAGAAGTTATTTGGCCAATAACTTGATATTTTCAACAATAGGTAATTTGGAAGAAATTTACACTCGGGTATATAAAGTACAGTTGTAATACGTCATGTACAACTGTATATACTGACATAGTCTGAATCCTTGTCAAGCGAGTGGTCACATACCGGAATTTTGTCCTTCCGGACAAGTCAATATTGAAAGTAAATGCAAGCATTTACGATGTTTGAAACAACTCTGGAAAACTATGTATGGATGTTAACTACAGGATACTGTTCATTGATATGTTGTACACATATAAAGTTAAACTACATGAAAGATATCTATCAACAGAATTTTACATTTCTGATTGTATGGCAAAAATACATATCACTGAGCATATCGACGAAGTTGCTCACCAGTGCTGATAGCATACGTTGTGACAGCGTGGGGAACGTAGTCGGAGTCTGCGGCAGTGTAGGTGTGGACTGTAGTTCCAGGAGAGTCACTCTCAGATACAGACACTGCAGGGAATGGTGTTGCAAAGGTGGGCGTGGCTTCATTTACAGCACCGACACTTACGTAAACAGTGACAGTCCTGGAGTTGGTCCCGTCACTGACTTGTATCTGCAGGGTGTAAGATGTTGTGGCAGAATCGTAGTCCACAGCTGAAAAACATACCACAATTTACACCAACAGGCTGTACAAACGTCATACATGTTACGTTATATCCTAGACATACCCCTATAGAACAAAGTGCGTTGTCAGTGGATACATATGGTTTATGGAGGTAATGGTCGTACACTGAAACAGGATTAGGCATTTAGTTGCGTTTGCTGCACCCTCCCCAGTCAACAGCAGTCCGATTGCATTTCACAGGGACCAGCCATCTGCATTGGAGCTTGTTCAGATCCGCGCATCACCCCTAAACAGTGCCTTAAGAGTTGACGTTGCGGTTGTACAGCGGTTACGCAAATGTAATTTGATCGTCCTAGGCATGTGACGTCAAACATGGTCGTCCTCACCTGGGGTGATCAGATTTCGCACCTGTTTCAAGGCACACGTGTGAATTGTCAGTGTATTACATCTCATCACCCGTGCAACAGCCATAGTAGAAGCATGCCTCCCTAAAGCATCTTTCAAGGATTGTTAATGTGTTTTTCTAATCACCAGATTTGAACATTTGCACACGTGTTAGTGGCAAGGCAAATGAAATTTTGTTCACCTGACCTGAATTTGTTCACCCGGTCGCGTGTTCACGAAAGAGCGTGCTGCATGCACCCCGCGTGGTTCACCACAGTTGAAATAGGCGGATACCTCAGGCTAGGCCTGAGTATTGTGTTACTCACCCATATTAACTACTTTGTACAACCAATTTTCATAATAATTCGTTTCTCCAAGTGTGAAGTTTCGATTTTTATTTAATAAAGTAACAACACAAAAGGCTGCTCTTTTACACATCTTGAACATCTACCTATACAAGGCCCCACTGAAGTTATATGTTTAAGAAAGAACCACCGACAATACAATGTCATCTTACTTGCAGCCAGCGTTATAGTACCACTGGCAGCATTGAGAGCGAATTTTCCGTCACCGTTCCCTGATGTGATTGTATACGATAGGACGTCACTCGCATCTGCATCTGTACACGTCAGTGTGGACACCTACAACCAGTGGACACATTACAACACAACACACTATGTTGACAATGGAGCCTTGTTACATCATATAGCTTGCAATGGTAGGCATAGTAAGTGGATTGCTGATTCTGTCTTGTCCAGAAACAAAGTTTTCTTTGTGAAAATTGTGGAGCGGGTGCTCCGGTAGATCAGGACATGCAAGGACCTTTTGCTGACATGTGGTGTCATCAATGTCTTCACAATTTGCCTAGTACATCGCATGTCATCTGTTTCGAGATGTAAGGTTTTAGTACTTGACAGGAACTCTTCAGGATACCTGTTCAAGGGTCTTCTAGTTTGTTTGGATGTTTCCTTGCAGCACATTCGTCAGTATGACTACCACTACGAAGAATGTAGTCATACTCGTCCTTTTGAGGGAAACAAACTCACAAATGTGATGACAAAGACAGTTTTACGAAAGCCACACTGGCGAAACATTACCAATATTGATAATATAAATTGCACATGTTTCATTCCAAAACATTACTTGCAAAGATGTACTATGAGTGCCATTATTAGTTCCTAATCACCCAATGGACATGTTGCATAATAATCAGGTGCAAATCTACAATGATACAAAGCTCAAACATACATACCGCATCATTGACACTGCTGCTCTCAAGCACAGTCACGTAAACCGCATATGAAGCACAGGAAGGCAAGTTGTCGTTGATGTTGGTAACTGTGACTGTCACTGTTGTTATTGCCGACCTCACAGTGCCTCCGCCATCACTAGCAGTCACTTGAAGCGTGTAGGAAGGGGTCGTCTCAAAATCCAAAGGTTTCTGTAGTGTGATGATACCAAATGTCGGATCGATGCTGAAGTCAGTGTTGGTATTGCCATCTGTAATACAGGTGGTTTGAAATAATTAAAGTCACAGGTATAAAATGAAAAAATGTAACCGATGTCAACAAAATGCCTGGTGTCACGCCATTATTCCAGAAAGGACGGCGATGATACAGATACTTGAAACGATAGTATATTTCCTTACTTGTAATAGAATATGTAATCTGTCCGTCGATGCCAGCATCAAGATCTGTGGCGGCCACAGTATCAATTACTGTCCCTACTGCGGTGTTCTCTGCAAACTGAAACAACAGTCAATTAACAAGCTAACACGGCAAAATAGCAGATGAAGAGGATAATTATGAAGTGGCAATATATAGACTACTGGGTCACATTTTAAAATACCACCACGTACCGAGACAGTTGATGGGAAGCCAGCAGCAAATGCAGGATCGTGGTCATTGACTGCCACAACGGATACCGTCACAGACGTCGTTCCAGTCAGCTCCGGTGTTCCACCATCGGTCACAATGATCCTGAGGACATAGTAGTCAGGGTCATTGGCCGGACTGTCAAGGTTGATTGCAGTTATCAGTTCAAGACCAGATGCACCGAACTGGAATCTAGTAGTGTCCCCAAACTCTATCGCATATGCCAAGGTTGACGTTGCATCAGCATCTGTTGCCGCTACTGCTACTATTGTTGCACCTGCTGTCGTGGCAGTTTCCAGAGGAGAGTTGGAATATGGGGCTGATGTAAAGACGGGCCCATTGTCGTTGTAATCTGCTACTGAGATTGTGAATGTTCGGTCTACTGTCTTAGCAGGAGTTCCTCCATCAGATGCTCGAACTGTCACATCGTAAGATGCAACCGATTCACGGTCGAGGGACGCAGTTGTTGAGATTTTCCCTGACACGGAATCCAAGTGGAAAATCCCGCTTACAGTGCCTACACCAGCTGCAGATATAAACATAATAATACCTTGTCATCAGAATAAAAGATCTTTTAATTTCTGTCATCATGAAAGTAAGTTTGAAAGAGAGGATGATTTAATCAACACATATGAAATTGACATAATTGTATATCCTTGAAAAATAATGCATAATACAAATAATACGTAATACAAATGGACCGCCGCTATATAGCTGGAATATTGCTGAGTGCGGCGTAAAACTCAACTCACCCACTCACTCATAATACAAATGCCGAATGAGGAAGGTGTGGTGTTGTCAAAAGACACAATTTCTCATTCGTGCATCGCATGGTTGATTCACGCAAAGAAGGTTATATTAAGTAAATACCTGTTTGTACGTTTTACGATATTGCCGACATCCCCCTTTAAAGGCTACTGGGACAATACACTATATGTCAAACATAAACAAGAAATGATGGATGGAAATGAAGTAAAGGATATGAGACTCAATTGCAAACAGTTTCCCCCACCTCCAGTTGTTGTCACCAGTGTGTACGTGATTGTGCCATCATTCCCAGCATCTGAATCTGTTGCTGCTATGGTAACAACAGATGTACCGACGTTGGCATTCTCTGACACGGGATACGGTGTTCCTGATACGAACGCAGGCACGAACGTTCCCCATGCCGGTGTGCCTTCATTCTCTGGTAGAACCTGTTGGATGGGATCAGCAATGTCATATTACATATAACTGTACAGAATAGGAACCGTGTGTATAGAATACTATCGCCTTACATATTTCAAGCGGGGGTAACAACTTAGTAATTTCATCCCGAACTTCTCAAAATAGCAAATGACCGCCAATCGTGAAAAACACTCAATGTGAACTTTCCAAACACATGGAACTGAGAGAACAAATTAATTTATAGAGTTAAAAGTTCGTTTGATTTTTTTACGCAGCACTCAGCAATTGTCCCGCTATATAGCGGTGGTCTGTAAAGAATTGGGTCTTCTAGATCGAAGTTCTTGAAAGGCATTTAGAAGTTGAAGAACATGGATACGTGACCCGTTTTTATGGATAACAACTTCTTTTTATTCTTTTATGCTACGTATAAAAATCCACTGATTGACGTCATGAGTATTGATCTAAGCAACTGGGGTACGATGACATGGATCAAGCAAGTCTGGCAAGCCTGACCACCCAATCCCGTTACTCGCATCACGAGACAAGCATGGGTGACCCAAGACCAATTCTAACCCGGATCTTCACGGGTTCATGACTTAATTAAATGTTCTTTCAAACATTGGTGGCTAGCTAGCAATTAGAACTGATGTTCAACCAGTAATTGAGACAGTAGCCGCTGTATTAACTATGATAATTTATTTATGTTATTATTGATTAAACACGTTCACATGTTTCCATTATATTTCTTACAGAAACAACAACTGTAGCTGTGGCTACGTTCGGCGTTGCTCCACCATCGGCAATGTTGACGACAAGGGTGTATGACGTCGTCGTTTCGAAGTCCGTCACTGTTGCCGTCGTCAGAATGTTCATGGCAGTGACCTTGAACTTCTGGGTGGCATCATCTCCACTGACGATGGTCACTGTCATATCACTGTTCGGGGAGGCGTCGTCGTCGGTACACGTTAAAGCAACGACGGTAGTGTCTGTAACAACAGGAATACACTTGATATCTCAACAAATACATTCAGAAGTAATTAGTCAACGTCTTCTATGCGTTCTATGAGCAAATAATAGATTAAACCGGATGGTTCATATGAAACATTAAAGAACTATACCAATAAGGTGAAATCGACAAGGAGCGCTCAGTATGAGAGAAAATCCTTCGTAGGGTTTTCGCTTTATTGCGCTGTTTACATTATGGCCTATAAATTTCACCAGCCATAGTATCACAGGCTTAGTGTGTATCGGTAACGGATCTAATTTCGGGACCTCTATGATGATTAAGTGAAGAAATACAGTCCCATTGGCAGTTTTGTAACCATATCGTAACTAAAATAAATCATACATCGAAAGCAAACGTGTCTACAAAAGAGAATAAAACATTTATAATATTTCAGTTATAGATTTAAAACAAGCATGTAACCAGGGACCAAGGAGAACTTTTACTGCCTACATGGAACCCAGCTAGATTTACACCAGGCCATCGATAATGAATTTGACTTGCACAACGTGGACATAATGGACGACAAGTAACTACAACCAGGCACTTCTTCACAACTTTTTGACCGCCTCCGTGGTGTAGTGGTTAGAGCCTCTGCCCGGAGAGCGGAAGGTCGCGGGTTCGATCCCCGACCGCGTCATACCAAAAGACGTAAAAATATGGTACTTGTTGGTCCCTGCCTGGCGCTCGGCATTAATGGGTACAACAAGGACTGGTCGGCTCGGAGTCGGTATAATGTGTCTGAGTGGGGTATTCATGCTTCACTGCGGCATGGTATGTCAGTGAGCTAGCACTTTAAAACCAGCTTAAGTCTGGGCTAGTACAAGCAGCCGCACATACACATACACACGCATGCACGTCGTCATATGGGCGAATTATTCTCAAGCACGACGTTAAATCCAATTTCACCTCACCTCACCTCACCTCACCTCACCTCACAACTTGTGGGTCCGAACCTGCCATGATGCCAGTAACGAACGATTCCAGAACATACCGTAAGCAATGACTTGAGTTTTAAGTACGTTCATAGCCGGCAACCATGATGTTAATCAGCGATACACTTCATGGACTACACAACGTCCTTGTCAGGACCAGCTCAACCAGGCCGGTTACTCAACTATTATGTCGATACAATGTTTCATGATTTGATGTAAAATGCCGCATTTTATGGTACATATTGAAGGGATTCCGGAGTGGCTACTCACTGACTGGAGGGGTCTCTAAAACTTCTGCGAAGATTTATCGGGTCTGGACTAGACCATCCAGTGATCAACATCATTGAGCGTATATCTACGCAGTTGGGATACGGTGACATGCATCAAACAAGTCAGGGAGTCGGACCACCCAGATGGCACTTTTTGACTCATACGAGAAAAGCAGGGGCCTTATTCTCGAAACGTTCGTAGCCCTAAGAATACTTAACTTTGATCGTAGCCAATGTGTTAAGAATAGGCTTAAGATGGCTACGAACGTTTCGAGAATAGCTAGCCAAATGTTGCTGAACACCTGTTCTTGAAGACACGGGTCAGACTTTAAAGTGAAATGTCATACTCACCGACGGGAGAGTTCTCTGTAACATCGGCGAAGAATGCAGACGGTGTGCATGTGGGGGTGTTATCGTTGATGTCATTCAACGTCACACTCAATGTCCCGGTAGTGGGCTGACCAGCACTGTCGGTCACCGTCAAGGTCAGCTGGTCAAAAACTTTGATTGCACCCGAAGCATCTCTGTCCAGTTTCTGCGAAGTCTTTATAGTTCCAGTGTTGCTCTCGATAGTGAAGTAGGTCGCGTGGACTCCTACAGCATTTATGTATGTCATACAATAAGTTCATCCTAGGATAACGTACATGTGCAAAAATACATTGTACTGTCAATCGATTGATACATTTAGGGATTGAAGTTAGAATATCTTAATATTTGCCTCACATTAACGTTTAATTTAAACTGATTGTATACTCATGCCAATAATGGTTGTCACCCCCTTCAATTTTTTTAATTGGAGAGTGGGTGTGGGGTGGGGGTGTGGGGTGTGTGTTTGAGGTGTGTGCGGGGTTGGGGTGGGAAGGGGGGTGACAACCATTATTGGCATGGGTATATTACATATCACTAATTGTTTATGACACGGGTAAGAATTTATGATCAACAACCCGTGCTTGTCGTAAGAAACGATAAACGAAAGCGATTGGTAAGGTTGATTCATGTCATCGCATCCCATGTCTGTTCATGATATCAATCACTAGACTGACTTGATAATTTACAGCCTGCCTCGATATAGCTGGACTATAACTGAGGAAGTCGTTCAACGCTAAATAAACAGAACAAAATATATATGCATCTACTTAGATGTAGTATTGATTTTTGTTGTTATTGCTGTCTTCACAAAGGACCAGGCAATCCACTCACTGACAACATAAGCTGCCATTATCGCCTTTGCTGGCCGGCAAGTCAACGAACCTGACCACCTGATACACTAAGTCACCTTTTGTGACAAGCACTGGAATTCCCAGTGAGTTAACGATCTTCAAGATCATAAGATCATGTAAACATATGCATATGTGCTTGAGGAAGCTTATCGGGGAACGAGTCAAAAATTAGAAAGAAATACACACACATTTTACTATTCAAATAATTGTTGAATGTTTGTTGTTTAAAGCCACACTTAGAAATATTCCAGCTATATGGCGGCGGGCTGTACATAATCGAGTCTGGACCAGACAATCCAGTGATCAACAGCATGAGCATCGAACCACGCAGCTAGGATACGATGACACGTGGCATCCACGTCAACGAGCCTGACGAATAGATCATGTTAGTCGCTTCTTTCGACAAGTATGGGTTGACCGATCATATCTAACTAAGTATAACATTATGGTTTAACATGTTGACATCGGTATGTACGTATGCGTGCATGTGTGCGTGCGTGCGTGTGTGGTTTGTACCCCGCTGTTATTTTCAGCACATCATTGTGGTGATAGGCGTGACAAGCCAACACTTTAGCCGCTGGACTATTCCCCATCCCCACAAGTCAGGAGTTAGATCACAACCTGTCAGTTGGTAGGACAGAGTGTCTCCGGCGTCGTTATCTGTTACAGTATATGTGAAGGGCACGACAGTTCCAACGTTTTGTTTCTCGTCTATGGCGATGACCGTGGCTCCGCTAATCACTGGCAAGTTGTCGTTGAGGTCGGTAACGTCCACGTTCACGGCTCCTGTTGTTGTCGAGGTTCCATCACTTACTCTGAAGTACGGAAGTCTTTGAATGGATGCAACGCACTAATAGTAAAACATACACAATCATGCAACTGCCTAAATGGCGTTCTGTCATATAATATTATACGTATATAAATGAAGTGACAGATACATATGGTCAGGCCCTAATACCAGTAAGACCAGAAATGGGCTTTACACATTGTACCCATGTTGGGAATCAAACCCAGTCTTCGGCTTGAAGGTCCGGGCTAGAATTGTTCTTGAGTAACCCATGCTTGTCGTAAGAGGTGACTAACGAGATCAGGTGGTCAGGCTCGCTGACTTGGTTGACACATGCCATCGCATCCCAGTTGTGTGGATCGATGCTCATGCTGTTTATCACTGGATTGTCTAGACTAGACTCGATTATTTACAGACCGCCGCAATATAGCTAGAATATTGTTGAGTGCGGAGTAAAACCAAACTCACTCACTCAGTCTTCGGCTTGAAGAGCGAACGTTTAACCACTAGGCAAACCCACCGTCCCTGTCTCCATTGGTTGACTAAACTATCCTCAAGTATTTTCTGTTAAAGAGTGTGTACACATTTTAAAAGCATGTATATTGTCTAAGACTGCAATTACACATGTAAAAAAGCCCAACTGAACTTACGTCACAGTCAGTAGATAAAAGGTTGTTGTTTCATAATCCAAGGCCCCGCCTACTTGCAGCTGTTGACCCACAAGTGTAAAGGGCACTGACGTAGTGGTCAGTGTAAAGGTCAGGGCGTCTGCTTCCGGGTCAGTTGCTAGGATACCGAACACTGAGGCCCCTGTTCCGGTGTTTTCAGCAATACTGACGCGAGTACTGCCATCAGTTGCTATGTTGTCAAATGTTGTGGCGGCGCCTGTGTTGGAAAATATAAGAATGTTACATATGTTACACAAAGGTGAGCTGAGCCCTAACTTACCCCCCTTAAAACATGTGTACCATAACACGTTCTCTCACGTATCTAATGAACTATAATCATCTCTTTTTCATATCGACGATATGAAAATAACTGGTGACAGCCTGTCTACTGAATCTTCATTTCAGCTGATTCTTTCAATATCCCAATAGTAGTGGCAGTAGTGAGTGAATGAGTGAGTGAGTTTGGCTTTACGCCGCTTTTAGCAATATTCCAGCAATATCACGGCGGGGGACACCAGAAATGAGCTTCACACATTGTACCCATGTGCGGAATCGAACCCGGGTCTTCGGCGTGACAAGCGAACGCTTTAACCACCAGGCTACCCCACCGCCCCAGTGGCAGTAGTAGTCGTAGTAATAGTAGTAGTAGAAGGAGCAGCAGCAGCAGTAGTAATAGTAGCAGCAGCAGCAGTAGTCGTAGTAGTAGTAGTAGTAGTAGTAGTAGCAGCAGCAGCAGCAGCAGCAGCAGTAGTAGTAGTAGTAGTAGTAGTCACATCGGCAATATTTCAGCCATATCGTGACGAGAAGGAGCAGCAGCAGCAGTAGTAATAGTAGCAGCAGCAGCAGTAGTCGTAGTAGTAGTAGTAGTAGTAGTAGTAGCAGCAGCAGCAGTAGTAGTAGTAGTAGCAGTAGTAGTGAGTGAGTGAGTGACGAGAAGGAGCAGCAGCAGCAGTAGTAATAGTAGCAGCAGCAGCAGTAGTCGTAGTAGTAGTAGTAGTAGTAGCAGCAGCAGCAGTAGTAGTAGTAGTAGCAGTAGTAGTGAGTGAGTGAGTGAGTTATTATTTAACGTCACATCAGCAATATTTCAGCCATATCGTGACGAGAAGGAGCAGCAGCAGCAGTAGTAATAGTAGCAGCAGCAGCAGTAGTCGTAGTAGTAGTAGTAGTAGTAGTAGTAGTAGTAGTAGTAGTAGTAGCAGCAGCAGCAGCAGCAGCAGTAGTAGTAGTAGTAGTGGTGGTGGTGGAATTGGGTTTAACGTCGTGCTTGAGAATATTTCGCTCATATGACGACGTGCATGCGTGTGTATGTGTATGTGCGGCTGCTTGTACTAGCCCAGACTGAAGCTGGTTTTAAAGTGCTAGCCCACTGAGATACCACGCCGCAGCGAAGCATGAATACCCCACTCAGACACATTATACTGTCTGTAGTAGTAGTAGTAGCAGCAGCAGCAGCAGCAGCAGCAGTAGTAGTAGTAGTCACATCGGCAATATTTCAGCCATATCGTGACGAGAAGGAGCAGCAGCAGCAGTAGTAGTAGCAGCAGCAGCAGTAGTCGTCGTAGTAGTAGTAGTAGTAGTAGCAGCAGCAGCAGTAGTAGTAGTAGTAGCAGTAGTAGTGAGTGAGTGACGAGAAGGAGCAGCAGCAGCAGTAGTAATAGTAGCAGCAGCAGCAGTAGTCGTAGTAGTAGTAGTAGTAGTAGTAGCAGCAGCAGCAGTAGTAGTAGTAGTAGTAGCAGTAGTAGTGAGTGAGTGAGTGAGTTATTATTTAACGTCACATCGGCAATATTTCAGCCATATCGTGACGAGAAGGAGCAGCAGCAGCAGTAGTAATAGTAGCAGCAGCAGCAGTAGTCGTAGTAGTAGTAGTAGTAGTAGTAGTAGTAGTCGTAGTAGTAGTAGTAGTAGTAGTAGTAGTAGCAGCAGCAGCAGCAGCAGCAGCAGTAGTAGTAGTAGTAGTAGTGGTGGTGGTGGAATTGGGTTTAACGTCGTGCTTGAGAATATTTCGCTCATATGACGACGTGCATGCGTGTGTATGTGTATGTGCGGCTGCTTGTACTAGCCCAGACTGAAGCTGGTTTTAAAGTGCTAGCCCACTGAGATACCACGCCGCAGCGAAGCATGAATACCCAACTCAGACACATTATACTGTCTCCGAGCCGACCTGTCCTTGTTGTACCCATTAATGCCGAGCGCCAGGCAGGGACCAACAAGTACCATATTTTAACGTCTTTTGGTATGACGCGGTCGGGTAGTAGTAGTAGTAGTTGTAGCAGCAGTAGTAGTAGCAGCAGCAGCAGTAGTAGTAGTAGTAGCAGTAGTAGTGAGTGAGTGAGTGAGTTATTATTTAACGTCACATCGGCAATATTTCAGCCATATCGTGACGAGAACATTTGACATTGTAATAGAATATATATATAGTTATTATAAAAACCTGCCGACGAAGGACAGTAAAAATACTAGACAATCACAGATATCAATATAAAACTAGCGAACAAAGCTAAAATATTCCAATTAAAGAAGACAATACAATGTAAAAATGGGCTATAGATCGCCAACAACTGAAGGTAGATCACCATACTAGGAACCATGGGGACTTACATTACTTTTGCTACCTGCACCGACCCTAGTTGGATTTACACCATCCCTTCAGCCATTGGCGACAGAAGAGAAATCTAGCCATAAATTAAAAACACACTTATTCTACGATTAAAAAGCAGGTACACTTAGATTGACTAAATGTTTTGGGACTTACGTACCCTCTCAGGAGGACAATAATTTTACAATACTTCAACCCCCCTTTGAGGATACAGCCACTAACAATCTCAGTTGCTAATCTAAACTACCAATAATAAAATATATATCTATTTACAAATCACTCAACAAATCTAATTTTTTTAAAAATGCAAGAATTAAATGAGAACTGACATTATTAAAAAGATCCTTCAGAGTTTTGGATTTGAAATAGATATCCCTTGTGATGGAATATTCAATACAGTCAAGCAAGACATGCTTGACTGTGATCCTTTCATCACAAGGGATACAAAACGGAGGATCTTCGCCTTTCAATAAATATTCATGAGTATATCTGGTGTGGCCAATGCGACATCGTCGCATAATGACCTCTTCAAATCTGGACTGACAACCCAAGTAAGTGTAACCAATGTACGGTTTTATTGCATGTAATTTATTAATACCTACTTGGGTGTCCCACTTCTTTTTGCATTAGATCGCGGATGTATGTTCTAATGCTGGCTTTATAATCTGAATATGGGATAAGAAGTGGTGTCACTGATTTGTTGAGGGCTGCCTTAGCAGCAATATCAGCCATCGTGTTCCCAGAAATGCCAACGTGGCTGGGTAACCAACAAAAGACGATGTCGCATTGGCCAGTAGCAAGTTCATTGTACAATTCAAGAATTTCTAATAAAAGTGGATGTTTGCAAGAAAGATTTTTAATAGCCTGAAGACACGAAAGAGAATCTAAAAAGATGATATATTGTTTATATCTACGGTTTTTATTAATATATTTAAGAGCTGTTAATATGGCGTTTGCTTCTGCTGTGAATATAGAGCTGTTATTTGGTAGTCGAGAAGATATTGTTCGGGATCCTATGACAGTGGCACATGCCCCCGCGCCACCATCCTTGGACCCATCTGTAAATAAGGATTTATGAGTATTATATTTATTTTTTAATTGATTATATTCTTGTTTATATTGTAATTCATTAGTTACAGATTTCTTAAACTTTGTCAGAGTTAGGTCAACTTCAGGCCTCACTAGTTGCCAAGGAGGAGAAGAAAGAAGACGGGAAGGAGATATATTTTCCAGCTAAATGCCGGCAGCAGAAATGAAGGGCTTAATTCTGTGCCCAAGAGGCGGAACAAGAGACGTTTTTTTGTTGTATAAATCCTCGTAGAGGGGATTAAAGACACAGTTAAATGCAGGGTTAGACTCGCTAGAATATAGTTTAGTTATGTATTGTAAAGATAATTTGATACGACGTTGTGTTAGAGAGGGCTCATCTGCTTCAACATATAGACTGTCAATAGGAGAGGTTCTAAAGGACCCAAGACAAAGTCTTAGGCCTTGGTGGTGGACAGAATCAAGTAGTTTTAGGTTGCTTTTGCAGGCTCCACCATATACGATGGAGCCATAATCAAGTTTCGAGCGGACCAATGATCGATATAGGTGGAGGAGGGTAGCTTGATCCCCTCCCCACTTAGAATTGGAAACAACTTTCAACAAGTCAAGTGCCTTCAGGCATTTAGTTTTAAGTGCTTTAATATGTGGTAGAAACGTTAAGTGTGAGTCAAAAATAATACCCAAGAACTTGGCCTCCTTCACAACTTTGATAGGAGTGCCATTTAGAGATAGTTCCGGGTCTTTATGAGGCTTATATTTTCTACAAAAGTGTAGACAATTAGTTTTTGACTTGGAAAATTTAAAACCGTTTTCAAGACACCATTTATGTATCTTATTTAAACACAGCTGCAGTTGCCGTTCAATAGTATGCATATTCTTACCACGACAAGAAATATTAAAATCATCCACAAAAAGTGATCCATCAATAGAATCATTTAAAACCTTGGATAAACTGTTAATTTTGATGCTAAAAAGTGTGACAGACAAAATACTGCCTTGTGGGACACCCTGATTATAATGGTCAGACAGGGTAGAACCAACTCGGACTTGAAATTGCCTGTCAGCTAAAAACTTGGATATAAATTGAGGCAAACGGCCTCTCAATCCAAAATCGTGTAAATCTCTTAAAATACCATGTTTCCATGTAGTGTCATATGCTTTTTCTAAATCAAAAAAGATTGACACTGCATGTTGTTTATTAATTATGGCATTTTTTACAAAAGAGTCTAAACGCACTAAATGATCGATGGTACTACGGTTTTTACGGAAACCACATTGTATATCAGTTATAAGGTTATTGGTTTCCAAGTACCAAACAAGTCGATTGTTGAACATGCGTTCCATGGTTTTGCAAACGCAGCTAGTGAGTGAAATTGGTCTATAATTTGAGGGATCTGTATGATCCCGTCCAGGTTTAGGTATGGGAACAATAATAGCATCCCGCCACGACGAAGGAAAATTTCCAGATGTCCAAATGTCGTCAAAAATGTGTAAGAGCGTCTCTAAACATGATTCAGGTAAGTGCTTCAGGAGTTGATAATGTATGTTATCAGCCCCTGAAGCAGTATCATGAG